AAAAATAAAATATATAAATGGTTGAAGATATAGCTGAGCTCTTCTGGGCTCAGAGCCCACTACCACCAAAACAACTAACCAAACCAACAAAAACCAAAATCAAACAAAAAAATCCCCAGAAACTAAACTAAAACAAAAACAGAAAGGCATGCTGGGAATGTAGAGTATAAAGGTATGAGATAATCAGGAGTAGAATTAAGCCTGAGGTGGTAGTTTTGCCCCTGTAATCCCAGTACTTTCTTGTAATCCTAGCACTTGGGAGACTAAGGTCACAAGTTTGAGCCTACCCTGGACAGTTTAACAATTTAGCAAGACCCTGTCTCAAAATTAGAGAAAGAAAGAAAGAAAGAAAGAAAGAGAGAAAGAAAGAAAGAAAGAAAGAGAGAGAGAGAGAGAGAAAGAGAGAGAGAGAGAGAAAGAGAGAAAGGGAGAAAGGAAAGAAAGAAAGAAAGAAAGAAAGAAAGAAAGAAAGAAAGAAAGAAAGAGAAAGAAAGAAAAAGAAAGAAAGAAAGAAAGAAAAAGAAAAGAAGAGAAATATTGTAACCATTCCTAAAATCCGTTCACTCAAGGTTCCATTGCAACTGAGCCTAGGGTACCTAGTTAATTTTGTTTATTGGCAGTTGGGGAGAGGCTAGACTTGACCAGGATTTTTTTTTTAAATTTCATTTTAAAGAGAAAAAATTCACAAGATAATAGGAGAGCAATAATGGTTAATACGACAGAGGTGAGACAGGACACAAATCAGGCATTGCTTGGGGCCTTGGTGCCAGTGTTGGCTGCCTCTTCCAAGCCTCGCTCACTGTACGCCTCTTTTCTTTGGCAGTCCTCTCTGGGAGATGGTGCAGGATGGCATTGACCTCAAGAGCATCAAGTGGACTCAACACTAGAAGAAAATGCCCGTGACTGTGCTGGCCTGGCTCTTCCTGTCTCACTGACCCACGCACATCGGATATTTTTTATATCCGGGGTGTGCTCTGTGGTCAAACTGGAATTGTTGTATCCCAGTTAAATTTAGCACAGCCCATTTCCAAGTCCAAAACACGAGGAAAATATCTTTCCCCAGCCTTAGTGACTCTGCTGGAGTGTGTTCCCCATTTCTCTTCTCGAGTTCTTCTCTGGTCTTATAGTGTGTGGACATTTCCATCTTGAAGCAATAGAGACATTTGCTATAATATTGCTGCTGGACATATCTGTGACTTTTGTGCAGATGGAAAAACTAGAGGACGGCTCTTTGTTCAGGGACTCTGATGTTCTGTGTGGACATTTGAATCGCTTTTTGCTGCTCAGCTGGACTGACTCCTTCAGCAATAAGAATAAATAATCAACTTCTTTGATTTCATGTGTGTGTGTGTTTGGTTCTAAAGAATACCTCTGTATATTGTCTGTAAGCCAAACAGCAAGTTTCTTAGAAGGCTTACAGTGGACCCTCAAGTTACAACTGGCCTGACATATGAACAGCTTGGGTTATGGCCAGAATTTTAGTTTTAACCTACCTTACGACTATCAGTTAATAAGATCCCTTAGTTATCTTTTCTTCTGTTTTTTTTTTTTAATATCCCTTAGTTATTGCAGGCTGATTAGGTCTGCAATCTCCCGAATGATTGTACAGTGAAAGCTAAATAAAAAGAGGCAAATGGAATGATTTCAGGGTTCCAGGAGGATCAAAGCTGTCTCACAGAATTCGGGACTCTCTCAGGGCTAAGACTAAGACCTTCTCTGGGTGGCCTGTATTTATTTAGTTATCAGAAGGGAGGGGAGTATTCGAGAAGGGTAGCACTACTCAAGGACTTCTCCAAGTAACGTACTAAATTAATCTACCCAGGAGTGAGATGCCTGAGGCTCCAGTCTTTATCTAGTTGAGGTCAGATCCAGGTGTCCTTGGCTGTGATCTTATCTTACCCTTTGAGGCTTTCCAGCTTCATCCCCCATTGCAGGCCTTAGTAGAGATTAGTAACTCACAGAGGTTCACTTACTATGAGTCCACTGCCCATCTCCAGACAAGGAGCCTAGGTCTTGGACAGACTCACAAGTAAACATTAAAGCCAATTGGTTAATTTAAGTCCCACTCAGGGCTGCTTCCTAGTGGTCTCTGTCATATGACCAACTCTAAACCCTTACAGAAAGGGTTCTGAAGCCTTACAGAAACTCTTGAGTTATGACCCGAATGCCGGCTGCTTGTGGTTCCAGGTGGTCTCAGATGCAGATTTAACTGTTAAAGAGATCTGGAAGGAACATTATCATATCTTTTTCTGTATGGGGTTCATTGAGAAATCCTGGGCCCAAGTTTCTCTAAGGATGCTGAGATCTGCCTGTGCACAGGAGAGAGACTTTGAAGGCCGTGTAGAGGAGCCTGAGCCTTCAACTGACAGCCTGAGTTACAACCAGCCCCCAGGCACAAATTGAATTCATAAGTCAAGGGTCCACTGTATCTCCTTTTTGTTCTTATCTTCCTTCTTTTAATAGAGCTAGAAATATCTATATGACTCCATCTATTATTTGTTTCTTTAAAATTTGTTCATTTGAAGATTGGAGAAATAATCTTGTTTTACTGTTACCGTATAAGAATCAGCAACTGTCAAGAATCAGAAGACGTGGTTATATAAGAATCAGAATAAATTGAAGCTGCACTTGGGAATTGTGGAGAAGACCTCATGATTTCCATAGATGATTTAGTTAAATACATATCTCTTAATTCAACAACCACTTAAATGCCTGTCAGGACCCAGACTTTCTTCCGTATATTGGGGGAGACCCTAGTTAACAGGAACAAAAAGGGTCCTCACCCCACTGAGCTTTCATACTAGTGGAGAGCTATAAAATAAGAGAGACTGTTATAGCTGGGGATGTAGCTCAGCAGCATGGCACCTGCCTGGCAATTGTGAGGTCCTGAGTTCAATTCCAGGTACCAAAAGGAAAAAAAAAAATACTATTATAGATAGTGACGAGTGCTATAACTGAAGTAGAGTATTATGAGAATAGGGAGAAACTGTGGTGCTGAATCTTCTAGGAAAGCTTTTCTGAGGAAGTCATGCTTAGGCAAAAATGTAGTCAGTGATGGCTCATCTACAGCTGAGCAAGGGATGAGAGGAAACAGCTTGGCATGGAAATACAGTATGTCTGAGAAACCAAGAAAAAGCTAGTGCAAGTAGAATAGTTTTTTTTTTTTTTTTTTTTTAAGTAGAATAGTTTTTCCATTTGTGGGCCTGAACACATAGTAGATAGTTAAAAGAGAAAAAATAAAATGTTAAGGGTTCAGAGCTCAGTGTGATAGCACACTCCTGTAATCCCAGCATTTGGGAGGCTGAGGCAGGAGGATGGGAATGAATCCAAGGCCAATATGAACTACATAGTGAGATCTTGTCTCAGCCTACCCCTCCCCCCCAAAAAAGGTTCAACACACTTTTTTTTCCCTTTGAACAGTATAGGAGATCCAGCCCAGAGCCTCATACATGCTAAGCAAGTGCACTGCCACTGAGATGCATCCTCAGCTCTTAAAAAAAAAATTCAGGGGGAATGGGGATGTTTTTAAGCAGAACTGTCTTTTGTGGAGCTTTTTAAAATGATGACCACATTGTGACTCTAAATACTCGGAGTGAACAAAGCCTCGCTGCTGTACCAAGTGACTTTTATAGTTACAGTAAAGACAGGTAGCTCATATGCATGCAGGCAACTCTCACTCAAGTAGGGGATTTTTTTGTTTACAACAGGTCTTAGGCTGGGCGTGGTGGCACACGCCTGCAATCCCAGCACTCAGGCTGAGGCAGGAGGATGTTTGCGAGTTTGAGACCAGCCTGGGCTACAAAGTGAGCTCAAGGCCATTCTGAGCGGCATAGGGAGACCCTGTCTCAAAAAGACCAAAAAAACCCCCAGGTCTTACTACATATGTTCTGTTACTTGCACGAATGGAATCTGCAACCTCTTTCCCCTTAGAAGACACTAAAAGAAAATCCTGGATCAGAATGATCTGCAGTTTCAGATAATAAAGGCTTTTAAGATATGTTTTTAGGATTAAGGACATGCTAATTTTATTAAATGAAAATATTTGTAACTTACTTTCTCAATAACAAAGCAAGTTTCTCAGTAAAATATTTATTTCAACCAGCAAAAAGAACCTATTTTGAGCCAGGGTCTTGATGAGTTGTACAGGCTGGCCTTGAACTTGCAGTCCTTCCTCTTCAGTTTCAAGTAGCTGGAATTAGGGTTGTGCACTGTGATGGCTGGCTTGCTCTTTTCTTTTTTTATTTTATTTTCTTTTAATCTTTTTGGTACTTGAATTGAACTCAGAACAACGCACTTGCCAGGCAGGTGCTGTGCCACTGGGCTATATCCCTTCCCCCACTTTCTTTTTTTTTTGGTACTAGGACTTAAACTCATGACCTTGCGCTTGCCAGGCAGGCGCTGTGCCGCTGAGCTAAATCCCTAGCCCCTGTTTTGTCTTTTTGAGACAGGGTCTTACTATGCGGTTCAGGCTGGCCTTGGGCTCACTTTGTAGCTCAGGCTGGTCTCGAACTCGCAACGATCCTCCTGCCTCAGTCTCTAAGCGCCGGGATTACAGGCATGCGCCAGCTTCTTTTCTTTTTTTAATAAACTTTTTTTTTTTTGTACCGGGAATCAAACTCAGGACTTGTGCTGGCACTTGTGCTGCTGAGCTATATCCCTGGCCCCACTTCTTTTCTTTTTTTACATAAACTTTTTTTTCTTTCTTTTTTTTTTTTTTTTTTTTTGCTTCCGGGAATCAAATTTGACCTTACATGTTAAATACACTTTTGAATAATTTTACATTTATAGAAAAGCTGGACAAGTTGGGCAAATGGTAGCATTGTATATCCATTACCATTTTCCTCTAATAAAATTTCACCCAAAAAAACTAGAGTGGGGCCACCCTCTAAGACCCCTTCTGGCTCTCTTAGACAGACGCTTTTCTTCCTCTCAATAAATACTTTCTAAAAAAAAAAAAAAAGTAAAAATAAATAAATAAGTAAATACTTCCTACCCTTAACCTCCATTGTTCTAGAATTCAGTCTTTGATTTTAGAGAACATGAACTTGTATTGGACATCTAGCAGGTTGGGAGTTATAGTTCCCTTATATTATTTGGAGGTCCTAGTCATCCCTATATCATTAGTACAGATGATATTTGCCAGTGTGACTCTTGGCTTCTTTCTTTTTCTCTTTCCCTTCCTCCCTCCCTTCCTTTTTTGTGGTACTGGACATTGCCTCCAGAGATTCTATACTGAGTTATAGCCTCAGGCCATTTTAATTGTATTATAATTTTTTATTCTGAGACAGTTTCACCAAGTTGTTAAATTGTCCAGGCTGAGCTTAAATTGAGAAGCTTTGAGACCAGCCTAGGCTACAAAGTGAGCTCAAGGCCAGCCTGAACTGCATAGCGAGACCCTGTCTCAAAAAGACAAAACAAAGAAAAAAAAGTAATAGAGGAAGTGGGGGAAGCATTTGTGGTGTAAATAAAACCAGACCTGGCCCTCCTGCCTCAGCCTCCTAGAGTGCTGGGATTACAGGCGTATGCCACCACATTTGGACCCTAGCCCTTCTTACAATTTTTATTTTGAGATGAATTCTCACTAAATTTTTTTCCTTTTTAGTCTCACTAAATTATTCAGGCTGAACTTCAACTTATTATCCTCCTGCCTCAGCCTCCCATGTAAGTAAAATTACAGGCATGGCTATGGTGTCTGTTCCTGGTTTTGTTTTGTTTTGTTTCTTGGTACTGGGAATCCAACTCAAGACCTCTCAAAAAAAAAAAAAAAGACCTCACACTTGCAAGGCAGGCACTGCGCTGCTGAGCTATATCTTTGGCCACCTCGTTTATTGACAGCTAATAACCTTTTGAGTTTTTAAATTTTCTTTGTCTTTTTAAAATTTCTTTTTGTCTTTTTGAGGCAGGGTTTCACTATGCAGTTCAGGTTGGTCTTGAACTCACTTGGTAGCACAGGCTAACCTCGGACTCGCAACAATCCTGCCTCAGCCTCCTGAGTGCTGTGATTATACAGGTGCGCCAAATTTTCTTTTTAAAAGAGCTTTTTCTTTTTTTTTTTTTTTTGGTTTTTTTTTTGGTTTTTCTCCGGTAC